AAAAAAACAAACTCAAAAACAAAACCGTGTAACAACAACAAAAAAAAAACAAACCAAACATCTTGACAGAAACTCATCCAGGAAATCTACAGCTTCATTTGTAATTTTGACTAGTTTTTGTCACAGTGGCAGCAAGCCCCATTCTAACCTAGTCCCATCTAACCTGTCTGATGCTCAGACAATTTGCCTACTGAAGTCTGAACTGAAATGTCCTCAAGTGTTCTTTGGCTCTTCTCATGCAATTTATGTTGCTGTGGGTGAACTGTCTTCCCTAAATTGTGTGACCAGTTTCATAAAAGTCTACTTAACTTCCATGGCTGTGTGGGGTGTTCCTTGTAAGTTCCACAGAAATTACAACTCCCACACTCAAACTTTTTGAATTCAAAGAAGCGGTGAGTTTCATAAGAATTACAATTGCAGCAAATAACAATTTATTTACTAGAGTTCAGTTATGTAGCTGTTAAGAGTGCGCACTGTTTCCTTAGCCTTATAATGAAGGTCAGCAGGGTAACAAAACCACATGGTAAGTTTTAGCCACCTGTGCACCTGCTGTGCTCTGGTTTCCCCCATTATTTTTCTGAACTGTGTGAGTGAACTATTTGGAGCAACACCCAAACACCCTAAACACCAAAGTCTAAAGAGCTAACCAGAGTGGAATATTTTATTCTCATGTTTGCAGATAGGCAAATAGTAAGAGAACAAGGCCTTGCAAGTCTCCATCCTCACAAGAGGACTTGTTTACAGGTGCTGAAACAAGAACCGTTTCCTTCTTGCTGCGCAAAGAGCTTCCCCCAGTACTGCAGGCTGGAGTTCACTTGAGTGTTCACATGCTGCTGCCTCTCTCATAGTGCTTAGTTTAGCTTCTGACTAGCCCCTCAGTTGCTGTGTAGCTGTTGTTTACTTTTGTACTGAAAATTGTACCTTTAGTGCATTTTTGTTAAGGCAAAACAGTACTTCAGTTTTAGGTAATTATCAGTTCAGAAATTCTTTCTCAGATACTTAAACAAATGAGTTATATCACTTTTACAAACTCATTAGTTTGCATGGGATCCAAATTACTGAGATATGGAAAGAAACATTGTTTACAAGACTTTTCTCCTCAAAAACAAATGCTCTTGGTTGACCTGACATTTTGAATTATTAGCAAGAGTTAAAGCCAGTGTTATTTTAATCCACTCACTTGCTTAAACCGTTCATATCACCGCTTGCAACATTATTTTTTTAGAAGGCTAATTACAAACTCAATGTAAGTAAGCATCCCTTGAAAATTTCACATTCCTTTCATTAAATTCACTTGGATTAAATTTAGGGTAGTCTCCCTGAACTGACTACACAGTGATTGATTTTAAGAGTGGCACTTCATTTTCTTATTTTTAGAAATGCTCCAAGACAAAAAGAAATGTTTATTTCAACCAAAACTGACTATTTCCTTCAGTAGAAAATTCTCAACAAATTAAATTTGCCTAATCTAAAGCTATTTTGTTTCTTCAGCCAACCAGAAAATCAGTGATTCAAGCAGAATCTCTTTAATTTAGTTGAAAGGGGCTGAATAGCATCCACTCACCAAAAGTATAAATAATATCTTTTTATTCCCCTAAATTTTTGCTAATGTACCGGCACCCATTGTTGAAAGTAAAAGTCAGTTACTTTGATTCCCCAGTGTTAAATATTATGCTATACATTTTTTCACATTTTTTTCTAATATTTCTAATAAAGTAAAATGATACGTGAGGAAAATCTGAGCAGGACCATCTGGTATATTCACTGTTATCTAAATAGTGCATTCATTTTTGTATCTGATACAGATAATGTTTTAGAGCAGACTTCAAATTAACCCACAATAATGTATTGATAGAATTATATTGTCTGTTACGAAGTCAGTGTAGCTAAGATGGTCTGTCAAGAGGCCAACTGGAAAACTTAGACTTAAAATGAAGGAATATCCAAAAACAATGCCATATACAGAGAAAAAATGCACATACACAAACATTCCCCCCACCATACAAGCCCCTTTCAAATCCACAGACAGTAGACCAGTAACAGGGGAGACTGTGGAACATGGCTCATTGCCAACTACATGTGATCTCATGATTTCACCTTAAAATCCCCAGAACCTGAGACTGTCTCATAATGAGCTGGCAGGGGTAGGTGATCATTTGATACAGGTACAGTCTGGGTGTTTCTGAGTTGCAACACCTCTCTGAGCTGCTCCTCATGAGGAGCAATTAAGCATCACTACTTTCTCAAGCCAGTACCTCCAGTCAATAAGAATAACCCGCTTTTCTGGAGAACAGAATTTTACTGGTCTTTGCACAGCTTCACTCTCCTTTCAATTACTATATGTTTTATTAAATGATCAAAATAGAACTCAAAAATAGTGCCTCTTTATGAACAAGGTATTTTGATCCTGCTTTACCATCAATAAAATTAAAGCCTAGAAGGGTACTTCCCCATACAGGAGATTACAGTCCAAATGAATTTTTAGGCTTCTGTCATAAAAGTTAAAATCACCTTCAGATTATACTTGCTGATCCACAATGGCAGGAATTGTTGCTTTCCTGAATAAAGCTTATCCTTATCTCTCCTGGAGACAGTCTTCCATGTTGTATATGTGCAGGAAGAGAACTTTAATATGTAGTGAGGTGCTACAGCAATCATAACCAAGGACATCTCCCTTAGTACAGAATCATTTGCTTTTGGTAACAAAACAAGGACAAATAATAAAGTCCTAAATCCTCTGATAAAGATATTTATTTTCTTTGTTTAAGGTTGAAAGGTCTGATTCCTCATTCACGAGCTCACCATTGAGCCCAAAATTATGGAGTGGAACAAACCTTGCAGACAGATTGAACGTGTTATGTTCTATTGACTTACTTCTTTCTCCTCACACACTTGCAAAGAACATACTTTTTTTTTTTTTAATTAGTGAAACTTCATCCACACTTAGAGACTGGGTCTGACAAGCTGGGCTTTGTTACAAGAAGAAACACTGACAATAGAAAGAGGGCATGAGGGGTTCTTTTCCCTTAGTGCACCGCTCCTTGCAAGGACAGAACACAAGAGCAGTCTCGGAGTGCTGCCAAGGGAGGATTGGCAGTTACATCCGCAGCAGCTGCATTTTGAGGAACCATGGAACCGCTTATGACTCATACCAGCTAACAGAAAAATGGGTAACCTACCTGGTGTGTAAAGGGGACACAAGATCTCTCTTTCTTCTTTCTTTATTTGCCACGAACCTCTACTCAACTCTGTGATGACCTCTAGGTTCTGTGTACACAGGCAAGTTTCCTTCCCTTCATATGGGAATGCAAAGTGGTCTCACAGCAAGAGAAACTAATGTGGCCAAGCATCATGGCCGTATTTGATTTGGGCTGTTCAGCAAAGACTGGCTGCTGCAGTAAAAGGCAGATGCCGGAGTTACGATGCACAGTTCTAGAGATGTTTTTTAGGGATGCACTTCAGCAAGTGTCTACAGCATCCTGCAATATGACTAAAGAATTTCCAGCTATGGCACAGCATATAATGCATCATCAGGATTAGATCCTTAGTATTCTCTTCATTTCCAAGCAGTTTCTAAGATGTTACATAAATTCAAAAGCAAACATTTGTCAAAGTAGTCTACTAGCAATTTCAGCATTTATACCTCCATAGAGTAGTTAAAGCCCTTATGCCACCCCAAATATTATTTAAGATGATTTGTAAGTTTATGTCATTTGAAAAATCTGAGGTGGTTTAGGCAATTATGGTATGAGAGGACTTAATGTGCCTTAAAACCATATACTACTCTGAGGATTTTAGGCAATTTAAGCACTTATGCCATCATAAAACAGTTTAAGTGCTTAGACTATGTTGAGTGTTTAAGATGGTGTGTAAGTTCACACTACATCATCTAGGATGATTTGAATACTAAATCATTTTCCAGAATACTGTTGGAGCATAATTTGTAAATTATTTAAACTTTTTTAAAGTGAAACTTTACCTTATAACTAGACAAATCTTCACAAAAATCATAAAAATGCTTTTACATTATTGTATTGCAGGTTTAGTTCAATCCAATATTAGCACATTACCACTGCTGATCAGCACTGTTCTCTAAAAATACAACACAGGCCTTAATTTTTAAACACAGCAGGATTTCTGAAATCAGAAACCTAGCTGGTAATGAACTTTTTTAATTGATAATAATAAAGTTTCCAGCATTGGTTCTAAAAAACACTAGATAAAACCTCCTAGCTACTTTTGTATACATTAAAATGATGGACTCTATAATACCTACGTCTTGTAAAATATGCCCACCTCTGGTTCAAATGGAAATATTAAATTTTAGGCACACAAAACCAGATTATTTTTAATGGAAACAATACGAGTTGTAATCTGAGTCAGAATGACATGCTGTTACATACCTGACATTACAGTCTGTCTCTGCTGCCATCAAAGTAATGAACCTTCATGTAAAAAAATGTTATTAACATAAGCTAACCTTATTTTTGAGTGGTACAGATACAAAAATTGCTGTAATTAATACTTTCATCTGTGCATGACTTCTGGATATTCAATGTGATTTCACTGCTTTCTGCATCAGATGTGTAAGGAACCCTGTATAATTTTAACTGTTTTATACTCAGGTCATACTAAGCCAAGAAATGACTTTAAATAAAAGCCTAAAATCTCGTCTGTTTGTCTGCCTTACTATCCCACATCATAATGGGATACAAAAATGGCCTTGAAGAGAGCAAATCTTTCTCAGTTGTCTTAGTGACAGTCTGTGGTAGGAGTGGCAAATACTAAAATAGTACAGCAAGCTTGCAGTATTTATGCAGTTAGAATACTGGGGGATTACTTTGCTATAATGTGCAAACATAGGATATTTCGGTCTCTTCTCTTACTTCTTGTTTTCAAACTTCCTAAATTAGGCATTTTCTTTCATCTTTGAATCCACAGTTTGTTTAGTTTGCTAGCATCTAAATAAAATTGTGACTAATATGATGATACTTGTTCAGGCACTAGCCTTTGAAGACCAGCGCCTAAGAAAAACCCCTTCAATCTAGTATGCAAGCTACTAAGTCAACTGGGAAAAGTTACCTTCACTGAAGCTCCCATCACAAAAAGAAATCTGATGCTGTTTCCTCACTCATTCACTGATTCACATCTCATCAGCTCCCAGAAATTCTCAGAACCTTCTAACAGCAAGGTAAGATCATACTATGCAACATTGCCTATTATGCTTTATTCTTTACATATGCTAATGAAACAAACTAACTCTAGCAAAGAAAAGAATATTTACAACCCTCATGATTAAATAATAACTGTAAATTTGTCATTCAGGATCATGAGCATTTGATTGAAGTCTTACTGGCAAAAATACATTCCTGCATACACAAAAAATCTTGACCGGATTAAAACTTCTGTCCCTAGTAAAATAATATGGGATGTACTCTAAGCAGACCTAACTGGTATTGATATAGGAGAAGAATATCAGTGTACTACTCCACAATTAGCTGTCCAGTCTCCTTTAAAGGAGCAGCTCAGTCAATAGCTTCAGGAAGTTAAACCTTAAAAGACATTCAGATGGGTTTCAGCATTATTCTTGATTTTAGGAAAAGAATCTATTTTTTTTTTTCATGACACTGTTCCCTTCCTGGATGTCCTTTAGCGTGTTTTCTGAAAAAAACAAAAAAAAACTATTCATACTGAAAATTAAGTCCTGAAAATGTATATGATCTCAGCTAACAAAAATAAAGATCTTTAGCTTGGTGCAGAACTAATATTATTAAAGCTACAATGAAGCTGCTTCTGAGACATGATGGCTCAAAAGATTAATAATATCAGACAGTTTAACACACAGAAATCTTTTCATATGTATTGGCAGTTGTCAAAATTGTTACCATCTGACAACTGCTTCCCATTTGAATATAATGGCATTGGTGGTCTCAGTTCTCAGGAGGCCCTGATCCACTTCACAAAATGTAAATACATTTGACTCTGGATGACTAAAGAGTCAATCCTAACTATTTAAACAGCACAAATATGTGCTCACTCCTAAAAATACCAAATTTAGGCAGGTGTTGTTCATTGCCAGGATGTAGAGTCACCCATTATACTAAGGTTTTGCTGATGTAAAGTCTTCTAATCTCTGTGGCCACTACCCTAAAACTGAAATAGTACCTAAAATGTAGCAGTGAATTTATCATAGAGTAAATATTTATGCCATCTGTAAGGTGGTGATGCTAACATATTAAATATATTCTTCTGACACTCACTTAGACTTTATTCCATTCATATATTTCTGTTTTGTGATCTTCAAACTCATTTTGCAATTACAAGTCGTGAATCTGGCCATCCCAGACATATTATTACCCCGATGCCAGAATACTTGGGATGTTACTAATGGCAGAAATTTTAACTGTACCTCAATCTGTATCTCACTTCCTGATTTGTTTGGTTACCTAGAACTGTCTTGAGTAATCCTGGTGTGTCTGTATTATGTTTATTTTACTTCAGTGAAATTGAAGGAGATCCGTATGTTGAAGCAGCTGGTTCCTGCCCCAGCAACTACATTATTTACAGCTCAGGGCCTTTTCTTCAGACACATTTAGTCTGGTCTCCTAGTATAGCACACCATATAAGTGTAGCAATATTGTCCAAAAAAACATTCAAACCCTCAAATGGCAGTGAAACACTGGAACACATCTGGTGCACACCTGGAATGAGGTTTGCAGCTTCAGGGGTTTCTTTAAGAAATTACTTCAGGCACACCAAAGTTCTGTGAATGGAAACAACTCTCAGTAACTGGAAATGATTGAGAGACTCACTTCAAAATGCACTACTGCTCCAAATAAAATGCTAACTCTGAGGAAACTAACATTGATTTCCTTCATGTTTCTGAAGTGGATACTGATAGATTTAAGTGATACAATAAATAGATTCAGAAAACCAGCAAAACAAAAATATAGCTTCATGCATTCTGAAGTTGTTGCAGAAAAAGTAGTTTTTACCTTCTTTAAGCAGTCAGCTATCAAAAGAGAAATTCCATACATCTGTTCACTATTAGCTTGTGTAGCTGCTTTATCCCCAAACACTTCCTCACAGGGTATACAACCAATCATTAATGATTTACTTTCCTTTTGAACAGAACTTAGAAGTTCTGAAGAGCTCTTTTTCCTATTACTCTAAAATCTCTCACTGTAACAGTGCCCCCAGGGTAAATGTCTATTTTTCCTGTGTTGCTTTTGTTTTCAGTGTGCAAATCTACAGAGGAAGCTGTACCTTCAGCATAGTTTAAAAAAGTCATACACAAACAATGTTTGATTTTTATTTGGCATTGCAGCCAGTTGACGGTTCGATTCTGAAACTGAAACTCTAGAGCTGTAATTCACTGTTAGTAGGTCATACTGTCCAGAAGTGCTTTTTGATGAAAGGTGATGAAGCAAACAAAATATTCTTATTAAAGATACTTCCTGAACTTGATATGATTCAACCTTGTTAAAACTAGTATGATAACAAGAATATAATTTTTTATCCTGATTTATTAATTGCATTTTTAAATTTTAATTTCAAAATAAAGTTGTCTTCCACAGCAGAATACTATAAAAGTCTTATATCCACTGTGTATCATCATCAATAGATATTTTTCAAAAAACAGCATTTCACTGATATCACTGCAATTTCACAGTAGTCTGTTTCTGACCTGAAAATTTAGATAGGTAGCTGTGCTGGGTCATATTTTGCATTACTGTGATTTATCTATTTATAGAAACGATAAGTGAATATATATCTCTTATACCTCTTGGCACATTTGTAGCTGCTGGTTGATGTTTTATTGAAGACGGAAATATAGGTATATAAATTAGAGGAACATAAGAAAAGGAGATAGATACATCTGAATGTGCCTATCCAGATCCTATCCACATCCACAGTCACAATATATAAGCAGATGCAGTACATCAGCATGAATAGATGAAAAAATAGGACAAACAAGAATTTTCTGTGTAACGTATTTGTTAGGCACCAGAGATGACTAATGATAACATCAGTAGTAGAAGACAGTTCCAGAACTTCATTTGCTTGCCACATCTGGACCTCCAACACAAAAGGGTAACAGGATCTCCACGGGAAAAAGGAGAACTATGTTGTGATCATACCTGCTTTCATACCTAACATTACCTCAGAGAGGCACTTGGAGTTAGTTTGCCTCCTTCCTTGCCCTTCTTGTTTTGCAGATGACCAACATGACCTTCTAGGTCTAGGGCAGAAAAAAAAAATCCCTCACTTTTTTTAAGGTTTCTCTATATTTGTCAGTATCAAATATTACTTTTCTTTACATTTGCCCTTGCCTCAAAAACAAAAACTTGGTTCTTTCTAAAACTTTTTCCTCTGTTTTTCTGGTTTACTAATACATTTTTTCCAATTTCCTGTTTTATTTATTGTAACTATATTGCTACTGGAAGCATCTGTAATTGACAAATTAATAATTTGAATTATGTAAATACTAAGACAATTTTCACTTCCTTTTACTACACAACTTCATATGCATTTGATTTTTGTTGGACTTAGAGTCATAGAATCACAGAATTGTTAAGGTTGAAGAAATCTTTCCTAATTCCTAATACCCAATCTAAACCTTCTCCAGCATAACTTGACACTAATTTCTCTTGTCTTTTTGCTAATTGCCTGGGAGAACAGCCCAACCCCCAGATCACAAGAGCCTCCTTCCAGGTAGATGTAGAAAGCAATAAGGCCCCGAGCCTCCTTTTCTCCAGGCTGAACATCCCCAGCTCCCTCAGCTGCTCTGCATTTGACTTGTGATCCAGAACCTTCTCCAGCTCTGTTCCCTTCTCTGCACATGCTCCAGCCCCTCAATGTCCTTCCTGAATTGAACTGAATTGCCAGAACCTGACACAGGATTTAAGGTGTGGCTTTATCAGTGCCCAGCACAGGGGGACGCTCACTGCCCTGCTCCTGCTGCCCCACTATTGCTCACACATGGCCAGCATGCCCCAGGCCTTCTTGGCCACCTCAGGCCTTCTTGGCCACCTGGGCACAGCTGGCTCAGGTTCAGCTGGCACTGACCAGCACCCCCAGGTGCTTTTCCTGCAGGCAGCTTTTCAGCCACTCTGCCCCAGCCTGTAGCACTGCAGGGGTTGTTGTAAAGGACAAGTCCTGGCACTTGGCCTTGTTGAACCTCATGCTTTTGGCCTTGGACCACACAGCTAATTTGTCCACATTCGTCTGCAGAGCCTTCCTATCCTCCAGCAGATCAACACACCCAGCCACCTTGGTGTGATTTGCAAACTTCCTGCATGTTCACTCAATTCCCTTGTGCAGAGAATGCATATTGAACAGGATTGGCCACTCAGCCATTGAGGAACACTGAGCCCTGGGAAACACCACTGGAGGCCAGCCAACAGCTGAGTGTAACTACAGTCCCCATCACTCTCTGGGCCTGGCCATCCTGCCAGTTCTTTACCTGCAAAGTGTACATCTGTCCACACCATGAGCAGCCCGTTCTCCAGCAGAATAATAGAGGAAATGGTGTCAAAGACTTCACGAAAGTTCACAGTCAAAACAACATCCACACCCTTTCTCTCATCCACTAAGCAGGTTATTGTGTTACTGCTTGGTTGGTCAAGCAAGACCTGCCCTTCCTAAACTCAGGCTGGGCCTGATCCTCCTGGTTGTCCTGTACCTGTTGCATGATGGGACCTGAGATGATCTGCTCCATGAAGTTCCTTGGCACCGAGGTCAGTCTGACAGGCTTCAAATTCCCCAGATCATCCTTCCAAGTCATTCTTATAGATGGGAGTAACATTTGCAAACTTCCAGTTACCTGGGACCTCCCTGGTCACATTTACCACTGGTGAATGAGTGAAAGTGTTTAATTTTTATTTAAGTAGTGCTGGCTTTTTCAAATAACGATAAGCACCATCACGATCTCCAAGAAAGACCATAGTCCTGTAAGTCTGCATATTTATGTAAGCATCCTTTCCATTTAAGTTAGCATACTTAAACTGTTTGATTTAAAACACACTAGTGTTCTTAAGACCAAAGTTAGTTTTCTACTCTCTGTTTCTCTGCCTCTTTCCTATAGCCTAACAACTAATTCTGAATAGGGGAACAGTGCAAAGCTTGGAATGCCTTCACTTCCAGATGTATAGACCTCTAGCAGAGGCTTTGTGAAGACCTGATTGGACACCAAAAAAGACTAAGCACCTCTGTCTTGCATTGACAAATAAAGAATCTCCATTGACACAGACATGGGATGGTAGGCAATGCATCCTGCTCTTCCTCTTTGTTATAAGCTGGTTTAACACAGAAGACACAAAGAAACTAAGCCTCCATGAATAAAGTGGCTTGGACCAAGAAAAGTTTGAAATATACCCAACAAACATAATTAAAACCAAATGAGATTAGATGTTGCTGAAAAAAAAAAACAAAAACCCCAAGATATTTTTTATTTAATAGTAAAAGATGCAAAGAGAAAGAGAGAGAGAGAAAGAGAATGACAATAAAAACAAGAAAGAGAAAGAAAAAGAGAAAAAGTATAGAAAAAAAGGAAAAATAAAAAGAAATACAGAAAGATAAAAAGAAAAAGAAAAAAATGGAAAAGAGGTGTGCATGAGAGGTGGGGGCACAGGGAGAGAGTGACAGGTGTTAGGTAGAAACATATCACCTTTCTGGGGATCCCAAAGACATCTCGCTCTTCCCCTCCATCTGCCCCTCTTGGCGGTGAGGGTGCCCTGCAGCCCACTGCACTGAAAATCCCGCGGATTAATACACATTTGGGATAGTGCACCAGGGACCTCCTCTGGGATGGGCAAGTTTGGCACTGTCCCTTGCAACCCTGTGAATCTGTTGCATCATTTGCAGTGCTCTGGTGCTGGCTCTGGGGACCCCTTAGCAGGGGCTGGCCTTTGATGGGCCGTGACACCCCCACCACTGTCCTTCACATGGATGCAGCTTTTCCCAGGGGGAAGGGACCTCACAGCTGAGCTGGCCTGCACAGCAGAGCGTGGGTGTGAACTGTCTGGGACCAGAGGCTTTTTCACCACACACCCAAAAACTCTCCTTCCCCCGCCACCCTCTGGTGTGAGGGTCTGTTGGAGCCTGGCAGGTGATAGCCCTGGGGCTGTGGTCTCCACCCCAAAGGTGCCAAGCTTGATCCCTCTGGGAAAGTATTCTTCTCCCCCAGTCCAGACCTGAGTCATTATATCTTATCTCCATCAGCGAGCAGTTCAGGGCCTCAGTCAGAGGGCCTGTTTATGGTGTGGAGCTTTGCTCTGCAGCTTTTGCAATACAGTTTTGCTATAATAGGCAAAAATTCTTCATGAAGATATTTAAGTCATAAATGAGAAACTTCAGTCTTTGACACTCTTTACTGGATCTTTACTTGCTTTGTTTCTGGTTTATCGCAGCTGCACGATACTCCTTCAAAGTACACTCACACTCCTTGCTGCAAACTTGAGTCCACACCAAACAGCAGTGAAGTGACAGGTCCTTCATAGCATGAAAGAGGACAAAAATACATGAGGATATTAGATAAAACTCAGGTTTGTTTTTTTTTTAACAAAACTGAAAAAAAACTATGATATAAATCTATGACCAGCAAAGGAAGTGGTATGCAATTGTGTCAATCATTTTGTTCATTTTCTGTTATGTGCAGTAGTCTCTGGTTATGTACTGTTTTTTGTAACATGGTATTCTCAGAGAAATTAATTATGTCGTGATTTTCATGTGCAGAACCTAAATGCATTGGCTTGCCTCTTTAACTAAGTTAACTAATTTGTTTAACTAATACTGCAGATGAACTTTCATTCAGAAACTCTTTGCAAGTAGATCTTGCAAACTGAACTCAAGAACAGGAACAGTAAACTCTAAATTGCTTTTCTCAATGAAATACAATAAGGAGGATTTTTTTATTCTATTCTGCAAAAATAAAAGAAATAAAAATCTTTGCAAGCAAACTGTAAATGCCACTGTAAAAATGTGTGTTTAAGTACCAGTCTGACAGATCTCTTTGCACTGTAAGTATTTGTCATTCCAAATATCCTTAAGAGCCTCAAAACAATAGGGAAGATTAATTTATTGATCTACAGATAAAAAATTAGTGGTGCTTTCCAAGCAATGTTTTTTCAAATACTGAAATATGTTGTATGAAATCGTGTTGGACGTCAGAAAGAAATTTTCTTAGTTGTTTCCATTTTTGTCACTCTGCAAAATTTTATAAAACTGTCCAAAACAAACAAAACACTAAGAAAACAAGATTCATTAACCTAAATTATTAGCATTATACATAGGTCTAGTATTGTTGAACTGGTTCTTTTTGTGCTCTGGCGGACATTTACAGGTAATCAACATTCCTGTGGAAAGCTTGAGTAAAAAATGCCTTAGAAATTAAAGCCAGATATACAAGATACTGTGTTGGTAGGGACCTCATTTCAGAGAGCAGTTCTCTGTACATTGAACTGTAAAGATAAAAGGTGTTTCCTGACTGTTTGCCATTGTAATTACACTATCAGATATTGTTAGAGAACACCATAACTAATTGTCCAAAATTTAATGCATACTAGGCAGCAAATTAATTAGTTATCTAGTGTTTCAATCACAAGGGAAACAGTGTTCTTCAGGCTATGTTTCTGACATGCTGACCTCGTGATTGTAATATCACTTTGGGCCATGTTGCTGCATGTATCAGGACAGGCACACATTTGATAGATCACCTTGATATCTTCCTTCTTCGATTAAAAAATAAACCATTCTTAAGGGGGCAAATCTGGGGACAGATATAACTTCACTAGCCCTGTTTTGAGTTTCCCAACATCAAATTTGTGAAAACTACAGATTCTACTCTCCTAAAAAAATCAGCTGCAATTTGTTGTAGCACGTAGAATTCATGTATGCACACATGAAAGGCAAACATAAAAGTTATTTAAATCTTGTCCTGACAAATTAATTCAGTGACAGCGTCTGATATTTCACTGAATGGTATTTACAAATGCTTATAATTACAGTTTTAATAACAGGAAGATAAAATGTTACTTTACCTTGTTTGTAGCCCAGTTTTTCCACAGTTCCACTTTTTCAATCCAGCTTGTCTCATGCTAAGTCAGTATGAGAAAAATAGCTCAGAAAGGAGAAAATGGAAAGGACACATAACAAGGTGTTGTTTTGTTTTTGGTTTTTTTTGTACTACCAATGTTTTGGAAGTTTGAAGGTTTTATTTTGATATGGAATTTTTAATGAGAAGTATGTAAATCCACCTTCTCCTGTTACTACTTTAATCTTTAGTTCTGATTACCTTCAAGAAACAGTAATGTCTCAACTAAGATGACTCCAGATTGTACATAGCACCAGAGGGTGAACACTAACCTGGATAAAATTCCCTTTAATTCTAGTATGTCTATTATTAAAAACCTGAAAGAAGCAGTATGCATAAGAACCCAGCAACTCAATGAACTTTTGCAAATAGGTAACATTTTGACTGTATTCTGCATGAAAATATTGAACTTCAATAGATGAAAGGAATTGACTTTTCCAAGTGTAATATGCAAGTACCAGATTTTTTTTAATCTAAATAATTGCCAGATATATGCAATTCTAATGATAATTGTCTTTATTAGAACATGACTGCAACTTTCCATGTGCCCTAGACTTTTCCTCATGAAAAATGAATTGCAGTGAAATTAATAGCTTCAATTATTCCCATTATTCCCGCTAAATTTAAAATTTCTTGAAATACACTGACAGGTATTTAATACACTTTAATGTTATTTAATACACTTTGTTTTATCAAAGCACTGGAAGGCCATTTTAAAGTGACCACTCCTGGAGCTTGGAAGAATTGATTTCTCAGGAATAACTGATTTTTTCGCAGGAGCACACTGTACTCTGTCCTGGCCTGTCTGGGATGTTGGATGTTAAATACCTATAATCCTACTATGAAATACCTATAATCCTAATATGAAGCAGGTAAAGTTACCGGCAAAAGGACAAATATTTTGTCTCTAGAGTAATCACATGTATTCCTCTGGGTTAATTTATTTCTTTCTAAGATACGTATTGGCCACTCTTGCTCCAAACTTTTACTCCCTCTCTATAGGAGGAGCCACCCCTGGTAGTTCAGTCTGGGGTTAAATTTTCTCCTACCAGCTGTATAGGTTGTAAGGTTAAGCAGGTATATCAGAAGACCTTCAGCAACTGATAAAGATCATGCTGCTTGTGAGCCATTTTCTCCTGGTAAAACAATGTAGAGGCGATTTTCAAAACAAGGTTACATAAATAATGATGGACTCATTTTCACAGATATATATGCAGAATCACTGGACTGCTGGCACACACATATATATATATTTACAGAGGCATGCTGATTAATATTAATTCAGAAAAACAGGTTTTATATAATTTCTTGGTGTCAGTATTGGTATTTTAGGGTGAATATACTCAACTGTTGACACTGGTTTATATAAGAAATGGTGTTTGATTGAAATTTTATCTGTTCCCCTTACATATTGAGAAGACAAGAAAAAAATTTTGTGAGCACAGATTAAGGAGAATAAAATTCATTCTTAATATGCTGCCAGCAATTTGCATAGTCAGTGTTCTTCCATATCATGATCATCCTGATCATAAAGAAAAAACAATCCAAGAACATGCCACCCCTAAATAAGAATTTCCAAATATAAAAACATATGGCTCTAGGCTGACCTTTAAGATCAAACTACTTTGCCACTCACATTAAGTCTCTTTTTTATTTTCAGTTTTAATGGATTGAATCTCAAACCACTGATGAGTCAACATTTTGCCCCTCAAGATCTGCCATTCTGAGATAGAGAGCAGGCTGTATGGTACAATCAGTTTGAAAAGACTTCATTTTGAAAACTTTCTGCTTTTCATTCAACACAAGAGTTTTGGGATTAATTTCATTGCACGTAAGAGTCAAATTTGGAGACATTCATAAGCAACTTACTAAAAACCCAATAAATTAAATATTCTGATATGTTTTTAACTCAAAAAGACAAACAAAACCACCAGCATTCAGATACAGCAAGATAATCCTAATTAAATACTGAAATTACAGAATGTACATATTTTTTTCCTTACCCACACTTTCACCCTTCCACATTGACTATTCTTTTTTGTTTCTCTCTTTAGCACTATTTCATGCATATGATACATAAAGTAAGTAATTTGATGTTGAGTAACTAGTAAGTTAGTGATTTTTGAACACAACAATGAAACTTCTAACAGGAATACTATTTTCAGAAGGATTTGTAATGATACTCAAGTCCTAAACATCAAATACTTTTAGAAAAGTGTTTCATTAACCAAACACAAATACCTGGACTGCCATTTTCAAGCAACATGAAGGAAAAACTTTCTGGAAGTCTACTAACTATTTCAACAGATCCTAGAAAACAGAGGGGATATGGGTGTGGCTGGAATCAACTTCCAAAGACCTTGATTTTTTTTTCTGATGGTTTTCAGCTTCAGTATTTCCTTGGGTCTGTGTACAGCACAGTGGTACAGTACCAAGTCAGAGCTGACACAGTGGTCACTGCCGGTGACCAGTGCTAGACCAAGCCTTGGGGACAGTTTTGTTTCAACATGACAGCATTTCATCTAAAGGTATCTCTCCTGGCTCTGGCATGCAGTGTCAGCTCTGTGTGGCTTCTCTTTTGTAATCAACTCAGTCAGTACCAGGCCACCTGCTATACTGGAGAATGCTATACAATGATCATTAGCTGTGATAAATAGTGAATAATTCTTCTGCATCAAAATTCATGCTGGCTGTTTTTGAAGATAAGGCTCTGTTTAGATTCTGAGATGATGTTTGGAATCAGAAGCAATTTATTCTGTGACTTTGACACATTTCTGTCATTTCTGTGCTATTGGCTGTCCTGCGTTGGAATGCTCACACAAAAAATAATCTAGTTGGATAACCTCATGTTTTATTCTGTTCTAGACCAATCAGAGTGCATTCATGCTAATATTAACCTCATCAAATTACAAGGTAAGCAATTTTCCTTCTACTCCTGACATTACAAAAGCCAGCCTTCCTGCATTTGCAAAAAGCTCTATGACATACTGACACTTTATATATGCAACAGAAAGACAGCTCGACCATGACTTCTAGTCTGTCCTTCACATTAAAAGGGTGAATGAACAGTTCTGTCTTTGCTCAGCCAACACAGTAATTTCATTTCTCTGGTAACAGTTATACTTCTATGTCTCCAGTTCCCTTGGATGGCAGCACAAGCGCAAATGACATAGGAGAGCAACAATAAACTTCTAATGAGAACATCAGCTCATTCCAAATAGGAATGATTTACCCTCCACACCAGTGCAATACACATTTGTCCTTCATTTTGGAGAAGAGAAGAGGGATGGGAAGAAAGAAGTTAGGATCACAGCATCAACATGAATATTTGCCACTGAAGAAACTAATCTAACCGCTTATCACATATACATGTCCCTGTCAAGCACTCACCTTTATAAGGTCTCTGCTAAAGAAGGATAAATAAACTGTTGTAATTAGTAGTACGATTTTGTTTCTAGTAGACCTTGTGGTGAGCTCAATGTTTTCTAAGTACATGCAAAAGCAAAAAAAAAAAAAAAAAAAAAAAACAACCCCTCAAATTTTATTTATTTGCTTTCATTTTCAGGTGTTTAAGAAACTTTAAATAAGCCTTTTATTGCAGGCAGACTCAACATTGAATATCAAAGTTCTTCAGCCTTCATGATGTGTTAAAGTGTGTTGCCAAAAAGAGCATGGTACTCAGAATCACTCCTTGATTTTCAAAATCCATTTCACCATTACACCACAGAATAAATACACCAAAGAACAAAAGCAATCTGACATAAAATTTGAAAAGCAAAACAAATGAGCTGGACAAAGAGTAACAACAGTTGCTTTGCTAATGCTAAATTTTAATACAGATCTTACATCAGTAGTCATATTCAAAATAGTTTACCTATACAAGTGCTGCAGTATGTAATTCCCTAAATAGATTTATCTCCATGTAGGCAAAATCTAGGAAAAGCTCCGAAACTCTTAAATTTTACCCTGAGCAATATTAACAATATTTAAATAAATATTTATATTAATTTGAATATTTAAATAAATATTTATATAATTAAATATTTCAATAAATATTTAAAACCTGAACTGACAATTTTGGCATAGAATGTGTCAACTTAATTATATTTTTCTTTTACTGTTTTTCATGCATTATGAATATCTGGACAATAATAATAATATTGGCTACCAAATAATCACGTAAGCAACTTTTCCACTAGCTGTTTTTAAAGAAATTTATCAGTTCTTTGTTATTTTTTTTTGCTCTTTGTCAAAGTCAAAAGGATACGAGCCACACATTTTTAAAAGAAGTGTTCCTTGGTTTATTGCCTATAAAGACTGAAGGAGAAAAAAAGCCACAGGCAGGGTCATTAGAAAAATGAAATAGCCCAGGACTGCTGCTGCTGCTACTGCTATGCAAACTGAATTTCTAACTAGAAGTTTTCATCTTGAATATTAGGAAAAATGATGGGCACTTTGAGCATACGCCTTTTTATAGAGCAAGTATGTATCTATAAACCTTAATGCAAACAATGAATAAAAACTGGTTCTTCATGAACAGTGGAAATTTAAAAGAGAAAAAATAAGCAAAAACCCGGAAAGGCCCTCTGAAAGCTTTCTACCTTCCAGCAACATTTTTCTTTTCTGCTTAGAATTCAAGTCTTTTCCCTTTTATACGGCTAGAAGTTCATAAATTATGTTTTCTCCTTGTTAAAAAAAAAAAAAATATATATATAGACGAAGAAAATCTTTCCCATACATTTTCACTAGGCTCAGTTTGACTTACGTTTCTCTACATCTTCAGTACTTCATAATCACAGTGAAATTCAAGCAAGTGCAAAATCTTGCAGAACTCTTGATTTTAGGCATAAGAAATGTCGAAAAATCCCATATTTTATTGTGATTTTCATTAGGAATCTCGTGGTTTTTATTTGGGAAATGTTGGCTCATGCCAAGTACTTTAACGTAGGGCAACAGTTATAGGTTATATATATATATATGTGCTAAACATCTGTTTGTACACTTTCACAAAATGATTTCACGTTACATTTCTATTAGAATCAGTTCTTCTGCTGAGGAGATTGTTACCTCTTGTGGTCCTGTTCTGTGAGGGGTTTTTACCTTTTTCTTCTTTTCTTTTGCCTTCAGGTAAATATAACAAGGATGCATTGGATGCTGAAGTCCACTCCCCCTTTCCCATACTTACAAATACAGGAGCACAGAGCTGCAACATTGTGCAATAAATACTTTGTTGGTAAAATGTACATTAGAGACCAAAAACATAGCAACCAGGAAAATGTACTTTTTCAGGCGTTTATGTGTCTCTAGCTCTTAAACCATTAGATACTGAGTGTGTCATACAGATGGCACATTCAGTCCCTGTGGAGTGATGTTGCTGTCAGAAACACTGTACCAGATGTACAACTAAGGAACACCAGCACTCATGGCTGGAATGAAAATTCTGGGAGGCAGAGAGAAGTAGGAACACACACAAATGTATCAAACTTAATGGTTATTGTGACAGTCCTTCCATAATTATGGTAAACAAATTTAATGAAAATGAGTCTCTGCCATCTAAAATCATAAAAATAAATTTATCAAATGTATGAAAGTCTATGCAGAAAGCAAAGATGGCTTACCAGTTTTGTTTTTTTTTCTGTGCCAATCAATCTGCTCTTTGCTTAATTAAGCATTGGGCAACAGAAGCTTAATGCTACTATCTTTGGAAAATTTAAGATTTAGATGATTTTCTTAAATTTCCAACAACATGTCTATAAATATAATTTCAGCTCAGCATAACAGAATCCAAATCATGTTTTCCCCTTTTAGAACTGATTAGTTTTCCATCAGAATAATTTATATTTCTTGCTAAAAAGCTTGGTAGCCATCAGTATATGAGAATTCTGTTAAACACCAGTAAAATAAGTTTGTTGTGCGGCTTTCACAGAGAATTTTACAAACTTGGTATTATCTACCCATTTTCAACACTATTTATCTGCATGGACTACTCCAGAGTTTATTTATTTCCAGAGTTTATGTATGTATTTTCTTCTTCCTGACTTTAATAATACTGAGAATAATATTAGAATATTAATTCACAAATTTCTTCAATTGATATGTTTAAATAGATTAAATTCTGTTCCAAAACAATACTCCTCTTTGCAGATCTTCTATCTTTTCTCCTTTTTTTCTTCTCTTTTTTTCTGTCTTCCAAGTTACACTTGGTGGAATCTCAACTCTAAAAGGGGTTTAGTACTGAAGTTACTGCACTGAGTCACATTTGTGACTTCTCTGACATGAATCCTTGGTGTGCCAATTCTCCTGGGGGATTTTCCTGTAACTTGAAGGCCACAGACTATATCAAATCAAGATAGAAAGAGGATGACATTGGCAAAATAAATCATAAATGAATTACACAAGGACAAGAAAGTATGGGAAATAATATGTTAATATTAGCACTGTAAACAACATTGAGTTTATTTTCTTTTGGGAGTATTATTTCAGCATTTCTACACATTTTGTTATAGTATGGGAATACAATTCATTGGACTGTGGATATCCTTGACGAAACTATGAAGTGTAATTAACAGAACATTTTTGTAAGGTAAAAGTGGTCTTTCTCCAACCTGTAAAACCTGGTTCAAGAGGCAGCAACCTAATAATGAGAGTCAGCATCAGTTTCAAATGTAAAAAGTCTAAACTAAAAGTGTTATAAATAAATCAATTAAATTTTATCAATAATTTTTATTGATAAATTTGCAAAAATAGTTTTGGGGACAGCCACAATTAAAGGCAAACGCCGAGCCCGGGATCGGCACTGGGTGAACCCTGAACCAGTCTCTGCCGCACTGATTCCCCCAGGTTCACAAACTGTCTATTGGGGTGCCGAGTTTTATTCAGTTTCTTCAGCCTGACGGCATGCAGTCTCAGTTTTTTTCTCTGTGATGTGTTGTTACATATTCAGAATTTAGATGTTGAACTGCTGAAGAGGCTTCTGGGAAGGAGATTAGGTCTGAGTGGATTTTTGGGAAGCAGTCCTTGAGATGTAGAATTTTTCTGAGGTTTTCCCAGAAGGGGATGGAGTCTGAATGGTTTTTTTTTCTTTCGGGAGACCAACATTAAGATGCATGGTCAACCAGTCAGCCAAATTGGTATCACATGCTGATCACTGAAATATTAGTGGCTCATCTCTGAGTGGATTTTTCTCTCTCCTGGCGCCCCCTTTGTCCTTTTGCAAACAGTGCTGAGCTCTCTGTCGTTGTGGCAATCCTTCAGTTGCTCAAGTTTTATGCACTGCGCTCGAGTTAGCTTTGTGTACTATACATGCAAATTATATAAAAAATACACATATTACAAAAAGTCACACTTATGGAATAGAACGACATCCCAATCAGCTTCCTTTCCACTGTATAATCTGTATGGATACTCTGTTGTAGAAAAATATCCTGATTCATTGAAAACTTGTTAGCATTAAAACAATAAATCTCCGTGCTTTAAAAATATTCCTCAGAAACACTTTTAATTATGAACAAGCTGTTCTTAAGTGAGCTGGAACAAAACAATTTTTGAAATTATTTTTCTATTGTAAACTCCTGCTTTATGCCCCTGGTTTGGCTTTTAAAAGCATGAACTTCTTTTTTCCCATTTTCTTCCCCATTTCTTTTTTCCCTTTTACAACTGACTCCAAATCATCTTGTAGAATAAGCCAGTTGTCCAGTCCAAGATAATAAAGTTTCACTCTAATATTCTGAGAGCAGGCAACATATTAGTATCAAGGAATACTTTTATGATTGTTCTTCTTGAACTTCGAGAATAGAAATATTTTTTCCAGGGTACCATTAATTTTTATTGTCAGGGTTTAAGATTCTTCCTTTTGTTTCTTCCTCTTAGGGAATTCTCTCCCATATGTCCTGAGGAGAAAATAACGACCCGGTGCTTAAGAGACAAAATAAGTTGCCACACTCGGGGAAGGAAAGCACTTGGCTGCACTCATCTGAGGGTTTCTCGTGGAGGGGCAGAGAAATTGATCTGAGGGTTTCTCGTGGAGGGGCAGAGAAATTGATTGAAGAAATTGCAAGAATTGGGCTGGGAAATACGGTGCTGGGGCAGCTTCTTGCTCTCTTGTGCTGTCAACATTCGGAGGGGGAGGTGGCTGCAGTGCCTGTGGAGAGATTCCTCACCCTTGCAGGATTCCTTCTCCTGCTGCCTTTCTTCTACTGTTAGTGGAGCTCTGCTCCTGAGAGGGCCTTTGCACCGTCTTTAACACCTTTCCTACCAAACAAAAGACTCTTTACATCCTGCTCGGGTGCCTCAGGGGAAGCCTTTCCGCTGAAGGGAAATCAGCCCTTCCCCCCTTCCAGGGAGCCTCTCCCTGCATTAGAAGGCGGGCTGCTGCTGCTGGTCCGCCCCGCG